AAGAAGCCGTAGTCGCCTGCCTTAGACCTTAGTCATATGTTTTTGGGCTACCATTCATAAGTTGGGCTAGGTTTAAGGGATATGTTTTGGGCTACCATTTATTAAATTGTAATTTATAAAATTTAAATATATTATATATACTATCGGGCCGGACCGGGTCGGTGAGTACCGTCCCCGTCCCCGATATAATCCCTGAAACTCTCCCCGATCCCCGCCCCGTACCCGTTAAGAGGTCCTCGAACTCAACTCGAATTGTTCGGTTTTCGGTTCTCACCGTCGGTTTCGGGTTTTTTTGCCATCCCTATCTAGAATTCTCCCAAATCCCTCTTCATATCCTCTCTATTCTCCTTCAACATTCAGCCCTAAAATCATCATTTCAAAGAGTTAGAAGTATTTTTTTTTAAAGGTAAGCATCCATCTTATAGAGTTTTAAAACTCATTTTGCTTAGTGGTAGCTTTCATTTTACATATTTTGTAGTTCTCCTTTTTTTTTTTTTTTGAATTATATAATTAGTTCTTGCTAAGAACTATTCCTAGGATCTTAATGTTTGTAGATTCTCACCCAAAAACATGTTGCATGTTTTAAGATGGTGATAATCCATGATCAAACCCAAGTTAAGATCAAGGAAAGAACATTTGGAGATTTTGACTAACATCCGAAACGAGAATTCAAGTTCTATCACTTTGGTTTCAAAATAAATCATAAAAATCTCTCATACTCATCAAATACCAATTTTGAACTTCATGCATGTGATAAAATCTCATATCTCAAATAGTAAAAAAAATAGAGCACAAGTCATAGATTTCAAAAAGTTCTCATTAACAACACATGATGAACATTTATTAGAGTTTTGGCAAAATACTTTTGTTTGTTTTGATGCATGTAGGTATTGATGGTTAATCTAGTTTTTCATCGTAATATTTTTTTCTTTTCTGTTGATTTAAAGTTTATAAATCATGATCTAAATAAAGGGTGTGTGAGAATTAAAAGTTGGAACACAAGTTCTTAATACCCCTTCCTACAACAATCTGTCAGATTCTAAATACTGACTTCGAAGGACCGTAACTTCTAAAATACCTAACCAAATAAAATGAAATTTCTTCTGGAATTTAAGTCTGTGTTTTAGGTTTTAAACCCAAGTGGTCTCACCTAAAAACATTGAGATTTCAACACCCAAACAGTCTACATAAAACAAGTGAGCAAACAACTAAACCCTCTGGATAACTGATCTTATAAGACCTACTTGAGGGACCTATCCATCTTCAAAATTTATGTTTCTTATGCAAAAAGTCTCCTATCTTTATATATTAACTTGGGTAAAAAAACCCCGACTCAAATAATTTTGGAAGGCAAATAAAGAACAACATAAAATAAGAGAAAAATCCTGACAACAAAGCTTAAAAATAAAATGAGGTGTTCATGTGTAAAAAAATTGTTTACCCCTCTTCTTAATAAAATTATTGAAATAATAAAAGCTATTTACTTTTTCTTTCTTTTTATTTTTATTTTTCTTCCATAAAGTAATAAATCAAAAAAAATTAATTTTTTACATAAGGCATTTTATTATAATAATTAAGCATCACCGAAACCTTAAGATCTAGGCTCGCATCTCATTAGTAGTTCGATTTTCGTAGGACCGAAGTAGGACCGGACCTTGGTTGCATTCGGTAGATTTTTGGAATCAGTCTTTGCATATATCGGTGAGTTTTCACAGCCCCCTTTTACTATTTTCACAATTTTGGGGAAAAGCATGCTTCTATTACTACGCACCGATTGTTCTATTATACACGAATTGTTACATTATTCTTATTGCTATTGCACTTTGGTATGTATGCTTATATTAGTTTGCGTGAGTTTTCTTTTGCTATCGCTCTTAAATCTCTGTTCCCTTACACTACCTATTAATTAATTTATTGAACTGTTGGTAATTATGGATAGCGCTATTTGGTTGACACCCCACTCACATTGTGCGTGAGTGCATAATTATTGTTTCGTTTACTCATGTTGGCGATAGAACATGTAGTCGCGGGGTGTGCTGTCATTAGGTTTGGTAGTGGGCTCGTGGCTTTAGCATTTAAGCATACAATTTACCTTGTGCGTTACAAACTACCGGTTACTTATCCATTGTGCGGATTAAACCGTTTTGAGAGTTAAACTTCTTACTTATTATTCTAAAAACCTGTGAACTCACCAACTATTTCAGTAGTTGACCTCCTTTTTCGGCATGCTTTTCAGGTGTTCATCAATAAGGTTGGCATAAAGGAAGGCATCATGTGGCAGCATATCGTTTTTCTCTTTTTGTCAATCATGTTATTTCACTTTTGAAAAGTTGTAATTTTTGACATTCTAAACCTTTGAACTTTCTTCTTTACTATGGCTGGTGTTGTCTTTTACCTTACGCTGTGAAACCCTTCAGCTGTTTCCGCTTTAGCAGGGTGTGACAGAAGATGTTGTTGAAGATGTCTTGTTTATGTACTTAAGCATCTTTTGTATTACATGTTGGTTAATAACCTTTGGACAATTAACTTTTTGTACCTTTAAGCATCTTTTGATTCCCCTTGTTACTATATATATTAGGGCAATCTCTTTTCTTTTGGATATGCCATTAGGAACATAGCTTCATCTAAGCTTTGGGTCCTTGCTACTTTCAATACTACTTTGAATTTTTTAGTACTTTTTGATTGTTCTTCATTACTATCATTTGCTACAACAACCTTTACAGTTTTCACTTTACTTTTCTTACAATTTTACTTTTACGTCATTTACATACAATCATTTCCATTCATGTAATTTACTTTAAGGCACTTACATGCAGTCATGCTAGGTTAAGTACCTTAATGTGGGTGTAAGTGAAGGTTGTGAGATTAAGCCAAGTGTTAGTGGATGATTGCTTTGCTAATAACAATTTACTTCACTATTCATAAGTGGTATCAATATTTCATCTAGTAATTTTTGACAAATTGACACATGTTATTTTATCAGATGAGTTGGACTTAAAATTAAGACGATGCAAATATTTTTACTAAGTGTGTTATAGAGGCTAAAAAGAGTCACAACAATCTTAGGGGTTGCAAAACTATATAGAAAGAAAGGCAAGATCTGTACTTCTTCAGGATTGATGCATTACCAAGTGAACTTCCTACATATGGTCTAATTTGCACTTCCTTGGAAGGTCATTCAATCCAATAGTGTTATAGAGAGCTATTGTTGCAACAACCTTGTGTTACGTTGTAGAAGTGTTCACTGCACTCTGTTGCTAAAATCCAACCTAATCTTGCACCCATACTATTTATTTAGTTATTGTTACATTTTAGTATTTGGTTACTAACTCTCTCAAAAGTTATTGCTTCGATTTTACTCTTGAAATCTTCTTTTAAAGTTGACTTTGGTGACTCTTTATGGGAGATATCTGGTATTACTTACCATTATTGCTTGCTTTGGATGATACTTGTAAGCGATGTATACTTGAATAATTTACTTGTTACTATAGCCTTTTGGGGGTATAGGTTTCCACACATCAATAATCATTTTACGTTTATCCTCTACTTTTCTTGAACACTCTCAACCTTCTTTTTCCTTATTTTCTCTGGTTTGTGAACTTGGTAACTGAAGGTATGAATCTTGGGATCTTACCTAGCCTTTGTGGGTGAATTTAGGAGCCAGGGCCGTCACTGGGGGAGGGCGGGCTGGGCACCTGCCCAGGGCCCAAAAAATTTAGGGGCCCAAATTTTTTTTTATATATGTTATTAGGTTTAAAAAAATTAACAGAAACTAAGGGGCCCAAATTTGACGAATTATAGAGGCCCAAATTTTAGAAAATAAAGAGCCCAATCACCTCCCAAGGCCCCAAGTTCATATCACTTGTCCATACTCCATAGTCCATTCTTCAATCCACAATTCCACATCAATCGACCGACTACTAGGCCTAGGCGACTACGAGCGAGGGTGAGGCGAGAGTGACTGAACGAGGGCGAAGCGAGAGCGAGGGGAGAGTGAGGGCGATAGGCAATGAGCGACGAGTTCTGTCAGCCGACGGTTCATCTACGTTCGATTCCGCCGATTCGATTCCAACAATCCAACGGTAACTCGGCAATAGACGATTTCAGAATGAACTTTCCGATGCGTCACCGATTTAAGGTTAAATTCTAGCTTATATATGTGTAATGTGTTAATATCAATTGTTAATTTGTTATGATTTTGGGTTCACTGTTTCTCAATTTTCTCAATTTTCTCAATTCTCACAGTTCCGTTCCGATTTCAAGTTCAAGATTCAATTGTTGTTTAAGTTCATCGTCATTCAAGTGGTGGGTTTAGGGTAGCAACAAAAAGGTATCCATTTTCTATTTATGTTTACAATTTCTCTTTATGTTGTTCAAAAGTTCATCATTTTATCTATTTGTTGTTCAATTTCTTGTGTAAAATCTTTAATCTTATCCGGCCAGTCAGCCACAATCTTTAAAAAAAAATTGTTCATCATTTTTTTAGATCATTGATTCATTGTTTAGGGCTTTATTATTATTTATTAACTTCTTGAAATGGGTCATTTTACAATCCAATTCCAGCTTTTTGTTTCTTAATACATTTTGTATTTTGAACATTTTGTTCAACAGTTCTGSCRAGTTATTAACTTCTTGAAATTTAGGCATTAGTTAGATAACTGATTCACTGTTTGCATTAGTTAGATAACTGATTCACTGTTTGGTGTTATTTATATACATAATAACTAATACATGATCGACTTATTTGCTTACTAATTGCGTTTCAACTTTTTTAAATGGCAGACTACAATTTCTTGAAAAAAGAAGTTGACTTCTTCATTCTTCAGTACTCCAAACTCAGATTCAGCCACTCATGTGCCTTTGTTCATCTTTATATTGACATTGTTGTGTGTGTTAAATAGTGATCATGTTGCCTAAAAAGTATAAGTGCTTATCTGGAAGTGAGAAAAGGAAAAAAAACGAAGTTAGTTGAACAATTGAAACAATCACAAAAAGGAGCCATGGATAAGTTTGTAAAGACCGTTGGTTCTTCTAATCAAGAGTTAGATGACTTAGATGAACAAGATGTTGAACATCCAAATATGAGTGAAGATAATGAAAAAATTGATGGTGTGAATGAACATGAGGTCCCCAATAATACTGAAAATGTATCCGTTGATGAACAATCAATTCCGTTTTTTGATATTTGTGATCCAAGAAATTGGGATAATCTTGATACTAAATCAAGAGACATCCTAGTTGAAAAAGGACCCATTAGAGAATTGGGTATCGTGTTTCCTTTAGATAACATGTCTAGACATTTTTCATATGCTTATTATGATAGAAAGTTAAGTAATGGTGAAACTAGKGATCGAAAATGGTTAATTTATTCAAAATTTGAGGATAAAGTGTATTRTTTTTGTTGTAAGTTGTTCAAGTCTAAGAATTATAGAAATGCAATAGCTAACGAAGGATTTAGAGATTGGAAGCATCTTGGTGAGAGACTTAAAGAACATGAGAATAGTATTGAACATATGAATAACATGTTATCTTGGAATGAACTAAGAGTAAGACTGAACACAAACCAAACAATCGATAAAGACTTACAACAAGAGATTTTAAAAGAGAAAGAACGTTGGAGGCAAGTTTTAGTAAGAATAATTGTCGTTGTGAAGTGTCTTGCTAAGTATTCTTTGCCTTTTAGAGGATCAAATGAGAAGTTGTATAAATGTAGCAATGGTAATTTTTTGGGATTAATTGAAATGATTGGAGAATTTGATGTGATAATTCAAGATCATATCAGACGCATTCAAAATCATGAAGTTCATTATCACTATCTTGGCCCTAGAATKCAAAATGAGTTAATTTCTCTTTTGGCTCATAATGTTAAAAGTTCTATCATGAAAATTATTAGAGATGCCAAATATTTTTCTTTAATTCTTGATTGTACACCGGATGTGAGCCATCAAGAGCAGAAGAGTTTAATCATACGATGCGTGAATATGTCAGGTGATAAAATAAAAGTAGAGGAATATTTTATAGAGTTTTTAAAGGTTGATGATACATCTGGTTTAGGGTTGTTTAATGAATTGTTAGATGTACTTAAATCTCTCGATCTTAGTGTTGATGATGTGAGGGGTCAAGGTTATGATAATGGTTCTAACATGAAGGGAAAACACCAAGGGGTACAAAATCGATTACTTGAAGTTAATCCAAAAGHGTTATATATGHCATGTGCTTGTCATAGCCTTAATCTTACTCTTAGTGATATGGCTCATTCTTGTGTTAAAGCTGTTTCATTTTTTGGAATTGTTCAACGCATTTACACATTATTTGCTAGTTCTACAAAAAGGTGGAAGGTGTTACTTGATAATGTGTCAAACTTAACTGTAAAATCTTTATGTAATACACGTTGGGAAAGTAAAATAAAAAGTGTCAAGGCAATTAGATTTCAAGCTCCTCAAATAAGATCGACTTTGCTTGAATTATGCAAATCATGTGATGATGCCAAAACGAAAAGTGAAGCGGAAAGTTTGGTAAGTGCAATTGAAAATTTTGAGTTTTTACTTGGCATGATTGTTTGGTATGATGTTTTATTTGCAATAAACGTGGTTAGTAAAAGGTTGCAATTAAAATCTATGTGCATTAATGCTACCATGGAACAATTTGAAGGTGTAGTGAAGTATTTTGAAAAGTATAGGAATGAAGGGTTTGCATCAAGTATGGATACTGCTAAAACAATAGCATGTGAAATGAGTATAGATCCTACATTTTTAATTAAGCGTCGTATTATTAGGAAAAAACAATTTGATGAAAATAACAATGAAGAAGAAATGCAAGCATCAGAAGAGGAGGCTTTTAGAGTTAATTATTTTCTAACCATTGTGGACATGGCAATTTCTTCTTTGAATAATAGATTTGAACAATTAAAGAAATTTGAAAGTATTTTTGGATTCCTATTCAATTCTGATAAACTAAAGTCATTGGATGAAAACGAATTGATTAGATCTTGTGTTCATTTTGGTGATACCTTTTATCATAATACTGTGGCGGATGTGGATGTAAATGATCTTTATTCTGAATTAAAGGTGTTGCAGGTGACTTTGCCAAATAAATCAATGACGGCAGCTGAAATTCTTGAGTTTGTTAAAGTTGTAGATTGTTACCCTAATGTTTCGGTTGCTTATCGAATTATGTTGACAGTACATGTGACCGTAGCATCTGCGGAAAGGAGTTTTTCAAAATTGAAGTTATTGAAGACGTACTTGAGGTCATCAATGTCACAAGAAAGGTTAAATGGATTGGCAATATTGTGCATTGAAAAAGACATGCTTGATAATATTGATTTAGATGCTATTATTGATGATTTTGCATCAAAAAATGCTCGAAGAAGTTGTTTTGTATGAATTAGATGCTATTATTGATGATTTTGTATCCGAAATACTTGAAGAAGTTGTTTTGTATGAATTAGATGCTATTATNGAAGAAGTTGTTTTGTATGAATTAGATGCTATTATTGATGATTTTGTATCCAAAATACTCGAAGAAGTTGTTTTGTATAAATTATTAGTATTATTGTATGAAAGTTTGTTTTTTTTAATGATTAAAAGCATTTATTTAAGATTTTTTTTGTATATATAGAGGGCCCAAAAATCACAAATCGCCCAGGGCCCAAAAAATGTCAGAAACGGGCCTGTTAGGAGCTCTTTAGTAGTGAATGTAAGTTTATAATTTCTCACCTTTTTGACCTACGGTTTGGTCTTTTTGCTCATACAACTTGTTAGTCCCGAAGGGGGTGACAATAAACAGAAAGTAATTGTAGAAGGGGGGGTTGAATACAATTACACAGACTTTTTTCAACTTTTTAATTCTTATTAATTTATATCAAGAATTAACACACACAAAATACAAAAGATTGTTGCGGAAGAAAGAAAAGGAAAACCTAACCTAAACAATCTTATAAGGAGAAGAACTTTCAAGAACAACACACAGAGTTTTTGAAAGGAAATGAAGAACACTAAGATTTTCTTCGCACACAGGAGAGCAAGGGAGTAGAAGATAATAACCGATTGCCTTAAGAATGCACTAAGTAATCTTTCAAAAGCCAGTTATGTGCATGGGAGAAGCACGTTGCCTTTTATACTACCTTCAGCATTTAATGCATGGGAACATTTGTCACCTGAGGATAAGAAGGCAGGGGTTGACTTGACCATTGTTGATATCTCATTTTCATCGTACACAACGTACATACAACATTGTTCAAGTAGAGACAAACTTTTGCAGAGATATGGTCAGTCTGTAGGAAGATCTTCTTTGGATGGATATGTAGCTTCAAGCAGCTACTCACAAATCTTCGGTTAATGAAGATTTTCAATCTTCGGTCCATGAAGATCTTCAATCTTGGGTCCATGAAGATTTTTCAATCTTCGGTCCATGATCTTCAATCTTGAGTCCATGAAGATTTTCAATCTTCGGTCCATGATCTTCAATCTTGAGTCCATGAAGATTTTCAATCTTCGGTCCATGAAGATCTTTCTTCAATGGCTTGTAGCATCAAAATATTTTCAATATTCATTTCAGCTATTTGGAGTCTTGGTGTGTATAATAGACAGTTGATCCACAACACCGCATCGGTGACCTTCTGTCTTCACATCGGCTAGTCTTCGATTTTGTCAATGGCTTAAGTATATACCAAGACACCAATATACAAAGAAACCAATAACTACTAGGTGTTGCTAAGGTGGAGGAACAGATCAATGGGTCATCACCAAATCAATAGGTGACCCAACACAACCTCTAACTTCTTCCTTATGGTTCATTTTGGCATTTTGGGAGTAAATATAGTATTTTTGGGAGTTTCACACCTTAGATTGGGGGCTGACTCAAAGTTCTTAACTCTTCACCAAAGGAAGTTCAAGTTTTGGGGTAAAACCTAAATTTAGCATAAATCTAGCAAGGTGAATTCTAGTTGTTTTGCAAAACTATACATGTCATAGGTTTTCTATTTTAGGTATTAAACACATTTCCATGAGTTTACTTCATGTTTGATGAATTTTGTGATTTTGTGCTCTTTAGCATATTTGGGATATAAAAACTTCAAGATTGTTGGGTGTTTTAAGGCACAAAAGATTATTTACTTTATCAGATGCAGTTTTATTGGATAATTGAATAATTTGAGACAAAACATTATTGTAACCCTTGAAAAATGTACCTTGAGTTATGAATGACTTTATTTGTTTTTGTTGAACAAGTCAAAGTGTTTAATGATGTTGTTTAGGTCAAGTATTGTTTTGGGGCTTTATCCAACTCGTGAAGTTTTATCATGGCACTTTAGTCCATTTGATTGTAAATATATAGATATTTGACAATGGCTCTTCCTTGGCCTTTTGAGAATTTTGGAAATACAAACCATACTTTTTGGGCCATTTGGCCATTGTACTTTGACGAATTGTCTGTTATAGACCTATTCGTGTTATAGGTGTCATGTATTTGCTAAATGTTGGGAAATATGTTTTTCCGGCTTATGTGGTTTACATTAGCTTTATTTACAATAATCAATTACGATTCATTTTGGCTTAATTTTAACTCAAATGAGTTTTAGGGACGTTTACCTGATTTTAAATAGCTCAATGAGGAGCTTTAGACGTATATGCATTTATTGCATATTTGTGGAATATTACATGTTTTGAGTGTGTTAGTCGTTCATTCATAGTCATGTTATTTAAGACTGTAAGTGCATTGGATCCATAGACATGTGAGTCAGTCATTTTGGTATTTGAGTAGTCGGTATTACAGATAGGAACTCGTGTGGGTTGGACTCCGGGATCGTTGTCGGTATTACGGAGAGGATTCCTTATGGGTTGGACTCCGGGACCATGGGTATTGTAGAAGTGATATCTTGTTGAGTCGGACTCTGGGGCCTTGGGTATTATGGTATTGAACTCGTGGGAAGACAAGCACCGAGACCCATGTTTTTGAGGTTTTGGCCTAGTAGAGTTCACACTTAGTAATCGTGGGTATTTTGAGGATGAACTCGTGTGAGTTGGACCCCGAGACCGTTGGCTTGTAAGTGGATCTCTATGATGAGTAAGTAGGCGTTAAGATCAAAGGTATTGCAAAGATGAACTCGTGTAGGGTCGGGCTTCGGGACCTTAGGTATTGCGGTGGAAACTTGAGATAAATTAGATACCGGGACCGTAATTTTAAGACACTACTTGATAAGGTTGACATGTGACTTACTTTGTGTTTCGCCATAGTCGATAGAAACAAGTCTCTCCCATCAACTAAGGGTGTTACTTTGGGTATTTGAGTCCATCCATGCTTTCAGTGATTTTTGGGTATGATGAATTTTCCTATTTTGTGAGTTTGAGGAATAAGTCTTATTCATTTATTTTGGGAAGTGAGTTGGACGTCAATTTTGAATTAAAGCAAATGTTTAACTACTGATTCTCACTTTAGAAACGATGGGTTTTGTGAAGATATTCCTTTGATCCTAAATGCTACTTTAAATTAAGGAAATGTTGATTAAGGGGAACTTCCTGCGTTTTACCGTCTTATGTCTATGAGATAAACTGCTTTAACTCACTAAACGTTGAGCCTAACACTTTTTCTTATCGACATGTATATAAGGTATTAGTGGGATCTGAGTGGCTTCCAGTGCTTTGTAGAGATTTCGGTAAGATGGCTTTTGAGGCGTCATCTGATTTCAAAGATAACATATTTGGTGATCCTAATAACACCCGACTTATTTTTTGTTTAGGAATTAGATATTCCTATTTAGAATTTTGATACATACTTTGTACTCATTTTGGGCAAACTTTACATATTTCTATATTAAAGTTTTAATTTGAAGAAGTTTGGGAAGTTTTAAATTTATGCTATTCTCATTTTAATTAATAAAATGAACTAAGGGGCTGTTTATCTAAACGTTTATCTGGTAAGTGCTTATCTATAGGAGTCAACACTATAATTTATTTTGATGAGTAAGATTTTAGTACATTAAAACGTATTGAATGCAATAATTTACCGGGTAAGTGCTTACCTGGGTAAGAGTCGTAATCTTCACTTACCGGGTAAGACTCTTCATCATTTTCGTCGATCTTACCCGTAAGATTCTTGACCCTTGTCATGTTCATCCGATAAGGAAATTTATCCGGTAAGCACTTAGCAAGTAAGCGTTTAATAAACGGCCCCTAAATCATATATAATTGAAGTTTATCGGTTAATTGGGAAACAAAGAAGATAACACAATATTTACTTGGTTATGCGAGCCGATTAATTTCAGGACGACCACCTGCTTCGCGGGTAGTCCGGAGTCACCGAATTTGAACCTCCGTATCCACAAAGAAGATTTTTATTCCTTCTTGGATTTGAGTCTGAGACCTCCAGACACCTTTAAGGCTTTAACCTTGAAGCCTAAACTGAAACCAATCAGACATCATTCTTATGGTTTAATATTTTACTAGAAGAGTACTCGCGCAATGCAGCGAGATACATCTTGATTTTAATATTTCATTTTATTCTTTATCTCAGTCGATGTTATAGTATGGTTTTATGTGATTTTGAAAAAGCGATGATGTTTTTATTATTCAATAAAATATAAATTTGAAGATATCATAAAAATTTGACAAAAAATATATCGTTATTAATATCAAATTAATTATTTAAAATTCATATTTTTGTGTAATTTTTTAATTCATTTTTTTATAATAATTTAATTTAGGTTTGATAACGAAATAATTTATATTTGGTAATAATATAATTTTTTATAAAGATAATAATCAATTATTTTGTTAGAACTCGATAATTATCTTAATTATCTTTTAAATTTTTTATATTTTAAAATAAGTTATTTATCTTATATTTGATTATGTTTATTCACAGTTAGTTACATGAATTCAAACATAGAACTTTAATAAGTTGTATTTATGTATAATTTAGTTGTAATCTTAAATTTTAAGTATTATGCATCAAAATACAGTACTTCATGCATAAAAAATAAATTTTAAGAGTTTTTGTCAAATACTTTATAATATAATATAAATATTTTAAAATACTTTTTTTTTTTTTGAAAATATATATACAAAAATGTAATTGTTTAAGCTATAAACGACATTTTCAATACGTATTAAATCGAATTCAATTCGTTAAATTTTATCAAATTTAATTTCATTGTAAATTCTTTAAATTTTAATGGTTTGGTTTCAAAAGAATTGGGGGAATGAAACCTTTGTGTTAACGTCCACTTTTTGTGATCAAACCCTAGAAACCGTGTTGGGAGGCACGTGTGTATTCACACACACGGCACCAAGTAGGGTTTAATAGACTCGATTCCGCTTCACTGTTCTTCCTCTTTCTCCCACACCACAACCCTTCTCTTCTGCTCCTTTTCCTTCGCTCAACCCACAAACACAAATCCCAAATCAAATCGATCCATTTATGTAAACGAAAATCTCCAGTCTTTCAACCACACTTTTGAATTTTGATTCAATATATCATGGCTGAAACTTTGAGCTTGATCGATAATAATATTATCGTCACTCAAAAACCCATTGATCGTGGAAACCCAGGTGGGGAATCGACGGAATCTTTAGCTCCGCCGGATAAATCTCCTTTTAGAAGGATTGAGTTTCACCAAGCCAGAAAGCCGTTCACTGGGTTCACTAATGGAGGCGGCGATGGGAGTTTTCGGCTTGAAACGCTCAATCCTGCGACGACGAGCTCGAAAAATACACATGGGAATCAGCAGAGCGTGGGGTTGGACACTGTTGGTGGTGGGTCTTTGGGTAAGAAAAGAGATGCGTCGGAGTTTGAAAACGGGTTGGATCCGGAACTCAGTTTTGGGATTACCTTCAGGAGAATCGTAAGTTTCTTCAGTCCCTGTTGGAAAGTTCTAATATTTTTAGTTTTTATTTAATATAATGTTTCTTGGCCATAAACATAGCAGAATTCTTATTGAATCAGCAAGAAGGGACAAACAGGATACTAATGCTAGTCACGCTAATCACTTTTGTGTCAAAAACGTAGTAGAATTCATTGTAGCAAAGATGATTATCGTACATTTGGTGAACTTTGGTTCCATTAGTTTACACCTCTCTCCCTATTATCAGATGTATAAATTTAACATTCAATAAAGACAACAAATAATTTGCGCAAATTGGAAACAATCAATTTAATGTATCAATGAGAACCGGAAGATATATGTAATTTTCTTCTTCCTCTTTGTATAATAGGGAAACATTATGATTCTGATGGACCTTCTTGAAAGAGAAGTTTTGCCATTTTCATGGGCCAAACTCCAAAGGGAGTGTCATTTAACTGTGGTGAACTTCTAAAAAGATGGAACAATGACTAATGTAAGAAAGTAGTGACAAAGAAAGTTCTAAAACTGTTGTGATTTTAGGATCAATGTAATTCATCTGTTGGTAGTCATCTGAAGGAAACTGTGCCAATATTTCCCTGCTGTCGTTGCAATATGTCTCTCTTTGGTTTAGCATATCAGATTGTTCTTTTCTCTCAACGTCTAGGCGATTGTTGAAGACTGATACCATATATTATTTTTAGTTATTCATAATGTTTTTCTGATAGTGCAGCCTTCATTTATTATTTCATTAGTAACCGGATATATGGTTTTTTTTTTTCTTTTCAACTCAATATGCTTGCAATTTGCTAAGTTTAAGCTTCTAATGAGTTTCCTACATCACTATTACTAGGAGCATGGAAGGTTTCTTGGTTATAATATATTTGAGCGGTTATGGGTTTCTTATTTTCAGTAATGTTGGGTCTTTGGAAGTAGAGAGTTTTCAAATTGCCAAGAAGTTTTTAATTAGTTTCTTGCATTGCCATTTCTAGGAGTACCAAAGGTTTGCATTAAAATCTATTCAATCATTTAGTTTCTTAAATTGCTATTTCTAGGGGGGGCCGAAGTAATATTCTGTTTTTGGAAATACGATCTGCTTATTTATTTCGTATATGGATTGCTTATCCATGATGTGATGGGGATCATGATTCACATGCATCTATATGCTTCTGGCTTAATGTGTTAGTCATAATCAAGGTTTTCTTGTTCATTCCATTTGCAGTACTATGTTTATTTACTTTTTCCTAGAGAGTTGGCAACATCCTCAGGGTTACATGCTTTCTTCTTATAAATAGCTCAAACTTCATAGTTCCTTCCAATTATTATGTTGTCTTTTTGTTGACTAGGTGTGGTATGCCAATTTTCTTGGTTTACTGAGAATTTGAGATGTGCTTTGCTCTGATTGGGATTTTCACTCAATAGCTTTTGGATTTTTTCAAGTAATTACTTTGCTTGTTAGGTTCGCTTCATGCCATGTTTATTTTCATTTGGCACTGGGATATTTTTTGTTCATTATTCGTGCATGTGGCTAAACTCCTTTAGATGTTTAGGAATTTTATTTCTTCTTCTATGTTTGGCCATGAAAATTTTTGTTTGGGCATGATTTTTTTTTTTGTTTCATCTTCATTTATGTGTTCTTCAAATGAACTCTCCTAAATCTTGATTATTCAGTTCTATTATCAATTTTGTTATCCTTGTTCAACATTAACATATTTGTGAATGTGCTTAATTTAATCCATATGGTTATTTACTCTTATTTCTTTAGTTGTGGATTTATGCCTTTTTCTCTATTCTGTTGTTGGCCCGTTCTTCAGCATTGATTCTGGTTCTAGTTTACGTATGACAAGATTGTATCATTGTTGTCAATTTGAAGTGGTACAAAAACTGTTTCTTGGAAATATTTATGGGTTATTTGCTCACCCTTCTCTGCTTGTGCTGTGACAATCTACAGGGTGCTGGATTGGAGAATCTTGGGAATACTTGCTTTCTTAATTCAGTACTGCAATGTTTAACATATACAGAGCCTTTAGCTGCATATTTACAGAGTGGAAAACATCAAGTTACTTGTAAGTAAATCCCTTCTATTTTTTGGTTAATGATTAGACACTCACAGACATGCATATCTATGTAGTCATTGTGAGATAACTGACTTCATTAAAGATTTTCAAGCATCTATTTAGAATTTAAAGGGTTAAGTTACACACTTTGACATGTATCAAACCACTTTAGAAGTAAAGCATGTCATTGGTTGGCATACTACTACAAGGGGGAAGTAAAGAGATTTGAGTTTGTGGAATATACCAAAGGGGTTGGCTTCAGATAGGAATGTGTGGAAAGATGTCAATTGTGTGCTGAAACTTTATGAATGGTTTACATAGGGTAAAAATCATTTGAGTCGTTGCTCGTCTTTCAAATGTTTCTGTACTACAATAGTGGCTCTTTTGTTATTTTGCCATGTTAGCATCCTTAGAAGACTTGTACAGTTGAAATTGAAGAGTTAAATTTGTTGCTATATGATTTAATTGGTTTTACATCAGAAAAAGCGAGATACGTATTATACAGTGAAGTATGCACACATTATCATATGCTTATGGACTATGGACCTATGGTTAACAACTGTTGTTTAAAAACTGGAGCTGTTGTGGCCTCTGTAAACCAAACCAAACGAATCCTATATATCCTACCCGGAGGTGGGGTCTGGGGATGGTAAGTTGTGGTCTCTATAGACCTTTTCATTAGTTGTTGTCTTTTTCCTCCATTTACTTGGTTGCTTTACCTTCAATTGTTGCATCATTTCTTAAACATTATAATTTGTTTTGGTTTAAAGATTGTTCTCCATTTACTTTCTGAAGGTCGGAAAGCTGGATTTTGTGCTTTGTGTGCTATTCAGAAGCATGTCAGCCGTGCACTACAGTCATCTGGGAGATCATTGGCACCTAAGGATCTGGTTTCAAATTTGCGTTGTATCCTACCATAAGTTTATGTTGGTTACTTTCTTTAGTTTGAGGAGTTCATATCTTTATTTTATTTCAAGAAATCTGCCAATTTTTTTATTTTATTTTAACCTGGGTTTATTGAAATAAGTTCATAAGATGGAAGTGCAAACATGGTGTAAAAGCATTGTTTTTGAAGTTGCAAGACCATATGTGACTAATTATAGATGTAAACATCCTTAACCACATAATTAGGCATATCTAGAACCTTCCGGAATTCAAGACAAGAGGATGCCCATGAGTACATGGTAAATTTGTTGGAATCTATGCATAAGTGTTGCTTACCTACGGGAGTGCCTAGCGAATCTCAAAGTGCCTATGATAGAAGTTTGGTACACAAGATATTTGGCGGCCGCCTCCGTAGTCAGGTATGGATTACTACTCCTTCCACCTTAAACAAATTGGCTTCTTTCTATACTTGGGTATGGATACTTTAAGCAAGGGAAGGGGTTTTTATGATAAACAATTGGATAAATTTGCTTACATTAGGAAAAATTGCCGATTTTCTAGGTGAAATGCATGCAGTGCAACTATTGCTCTAACAAGTTTGATCCATTCTTGGATTTAAGTCTGGAGATCTTGAAGGCAGACACCCTTTATAAGGCGTTTGCAAATTTCACCGCTAAAGAACAGTTAGATGGAGGAGCTAAGCAATATCAGTGCCAGCAGTGCAAGCAAAAGGTCAAGGCTCTCAAACAGCTTACAATTCACAAGGCGCCCAATGTCCTTACCGTCCACCTGAAACGCTTTGGTTCCCATATGTCAGGACAAAAGATTGACAAGAAAATCCAATTTGGTTCTACTTTGGATTTGAAACCTTTTGTGACCGGTCTATATGTAAGTCAAGAGAATTTATTTTCAGCACTTGTCACTCAAATCCCACATGAAATAGGTTTTTATAACGTTCACATCGAGTGCTTGCTGTTGAGAAATTTGTGTGGTGACTGCATACCATCCTTTTTCATGGTTTTATTATATTTAAGATCTGTATATAAAACAATGCAGGATGGAGATTTGAAGTACACTCTTTATGGTGTTTTGGTTCATGCTGGTTGGAGTACACATTCTGGTCACTATTACTGCTTTGTTCGGACGTCTAGTGGCATGTGGTACTCACTTGATGACAATCGGGTAGGAGGCAGACTTGATTTGTTAATTATAGAAAGGATAAAACTGTCATTTTATTTTGTTAGTCATCTTACTTTTTGATCTGAACAGGTCATTCAAGTCAGTGAGAAAAAGGTTTTTGAGCAGAAAGCCTACATGCTGTTTTACTTTCGAGATAGGAAGAGTTTTCCATCAAAGAAGCCTGCAGATGTTGTTCATCAGAAAGAGAAGATTGTGATGAATGGTACACTTAATGGCTCCAGTGCACGAAAAGAGACCCAAATGAATGCTGGTCTAAGTAACAGGTCATTAAATGCTCATAAATCTTTGGCTACTGTTGGTGCTGAGAGGAATGGGTTTGGTCCCAATGTGCCAAAAGAGACCCAAATGAACAACGGT